AAAAAAAAAAAAAAAAAGATAAAGTCTCCCACTCAGCTGGATGCCTAAGCTTTTAGACTTTTATTTATTTACTTTTTTGTTTTTGAGTTGGAGTCTCACTCTGTCACCCAGGCTGGAGTGTAGATGCTCATGGCCACCGCAGCCTCAACCTGCTGGACTCAGGTGATCCTTCCGCCTCAGCCTTCCAAGTAGCTGGAACTACAGGCATGTGCCACCACACCCAGCTAATTTTTTTTTTTATTGTAGAGGCGAAGTCTTGCCAAGTTGCCCAGACTGGTTTTGAACCCCTGGGCTCAGGCAATCCTCTCTCCTCCGCCTCCCAAAATACTGAGATTATAGGCGTGAGCCACCATGCCCAGAGGCTTTGGACTTTTTTTTTGAAGCAGAATTTATTAAGAGGACAGAAAAGCTTTCACAGTGGGAGGGGACCTAAGGGGGTTAACCCGACTTTGGACTTTTAAAAGGGGATGAGGGTGATGAGCTACAGTGGTGGCTGGGGCTGGAGTCAATGCCTGGTGGCAGGGGGCAGACGAATGGGCCGGAGAACTGGTTGTCTCAATCTGAGGAAGGGCAGGCCACAGAAAGTTCATGTGTCCCTCCTGAGACCCAGTCCTGACCTCCGACATACTAAGAACCTCTTTTAAGTCTGCTTCACCTTCTGCTCAGCATGGCTCTCAACAGACAGGGAAATCTTCCTGCAGCAGAGGGTGGGAGTGTCGATTTGAGCCTGACCGCTTGTCTCCACCACCCACAACCTGAGCAACCTCAGGACAAGAAGAGAGCCTCTCTGTGCCTCAGTGTTCTCCACTGTGAAATGGAACTGAAGACAATTCCAACCTGATAGGGTTGCTCTAAGGACTAAATGAGTGAATGAATTTAAAGCTCTGTGATTGTTGAATTAATGTTAGACTTGGGGCTTTTGGACATCCAAAGTTTGGATGGGGAGAGAGTGCTTTCAATATATTTTTAAATCAAAATGAGTTGGCCAGGCACAGTGGCTCATGCCTGTTATCCAGTACATTGGGAGACCGAGGTGGGATGATCGCTCAAGACCAGGAGTTTCAGACCAGCCTGGGCAACATAGTGAGACCCTCTCTCTACAAAAATTAAAAAAAGAAATAGCTGGGTATGGTGGTGCATGCCTGAAATACCAGCTACTGTGGATACTGAGGCAGGAGGATTGGTTAAGCCTGAAATATGAGGTTACTACTGGGCACAGCTATAATCCTAGCACCTTGGGAGGAAGAGGCGAGAGAATTTCCTAAGCCCAGGGGTCAAGACCAGCCTGGGCAACTTGGCAAGACCTCGTCTCTACGACAAATCAAAAAATAAGCCAGGCGTGGTGGTGTGTGCCTGTGGTTCTAGCTACTTGGAAGACTGAGGCAGAAGGATCACCTGAGCCCAGCATATTGAGCCTATGGTGTCCTTGAGCATGCCACTGCACTTCAGCCTGGGTGACAGAGTGAGACTCCAACTTAAAAAAAAAAAAAGAAATGTGAGGTTACAGTGAGTTATGATCATACCACTGCACGCCAACCTGGGCAACACAGTGAGAACCTGCCTCTGAGAAAAGAATAAATAATTTTTAAAAAAAGAAAAAAAAAGTGAATTAGGTTGAGTTTGGTCCAAGAATTGTACCATGTGCCCCTGAGCAGCTGGGACTGAGATGGTGATAGGGCCACCTTCCACAGCTGGACTGACCCTCACTCCCTCTGCCTCAGAACTTTGAGACAGTGACTTCCTCTCTGCTCACCTTTCCAGACCACAAATAACAGCGCATCGAGGCATCTGAAAGGCTTTCACCCAGTGGACTATGAGCTCACCTACTTCCTGGAAGCTGCCCTCCAGAGCGCCTACGTGAAAAACTTGAAGAAGGGGTAGGTGGTGGGCAGCTGAGGGACCTGGGCACCTCACTGTGGGCTGGGGCTTCTGACATGGTCTTAGGCCTGGTCCCCCTCTTCTGTGGCCTGAGCACGTGGGGTCTCCTGAGAGGATCGGGTGTGGGCTGGCTTGCTTGTGTCACATCTTTTCAGGTGGAGGGGAGGGCCCAGCTTCAGGATACTTGCCTGTGCTTCCAGGGAACCACCGAGGAAAGAAACAGGCATGATTACCTGGAGAGGGGAGAGTGTGGGAACCTGGGTCCTGGGAGGTGATGTTGGAAGAGCAAAGGACCATGAAGTGCCAGTCTGCTTTGTCCACTGCTGTCTGCAGCATGGGGCAAGTCATTTGGTTTCTCTGAGTCTCAGATTCCCCAGAATCAACTGGGAAAGTAGGTTGGGCATGGTGGCTCACTTTGGGAGGCTGAGATGGGAGGATCATTTGATCCTAGGAGTGACCTTGTCTCTACAAAAAATTAATCAGATGTGGTGACACATGGCTGTAGTCCCAACTGTTTGGGAGACTGAGATGGAAAGATTGCCTGAGCCCAGGAAGTCGAGGTTGTGGTGAGCTGTGATCATGCTACTGCACCCCAGCCTGGGCAACAGAGTGAGACCCAGACTCCAAAAAAAAAAAAAAAAGGGAAAGGATTCCTATTCATTTCAGCTTTCAGGGTATGGTGGTGAGGTGTGAAGGTAAGTTTAAATAAAGGCCCGGTGTCATTCTGGGATTGCCAGTGTCCCCGCTGATGAGGGTGACAGCAAATCTTGTTTTCTTACGTCTTCCTTCAGCTTTTGTTTCTGGGTGAAGTAGGCCCTCTCTGCCCCACCCCATGAACAGTGGTAGGCTGGCCGATGTTGGGTGCCAGGCCGGGAGTGGCAGGGAGTGGCAGCTTCATGGGGAGTAGCGGGGGTGGGGGGAGAAGCTACCAAATCAGAAGGGCATGTTGCTGGTAAGTGACCCTGGGGCGGGTCTGCAGGTACTCGGTCCTGTCGGCTGGCAGTGTCTTCCCCAGTCTGGGAACTTCAGGATGGGGGCCGGGGTCCCCTCCTGTCTTGGCAGCAGAGACTTATGCCTCTCGGTCCCCTCCTCTGCCTTATTACAGTCCTGTGCAGACACTGGGCTGGATCACTGGTGACAGGAAGGAGTTCCTAAGTGCTGAGGGTGGCCAGTCCCCAAGGGAGGCTCTTCACACCTCACCTCACCCAGGCTCCAGCTGGCGCCAGTATTCACCTCCTCCTCATAGGCAAGATGACCCAGGGTCAGGGGCACACACCTTTCTCCTCAGTGATCTGGTGTTCTCTGAAGCTTGTGTGCCATTTGTGTTGTATGCTGTATTTTGTTAGGTTTCACTTTATCCATTCTTTTCATTTAACCTGTTTTTGAATAGACGATTCTTGCACATGGTACCTTTTGAGTAGGAAAACAGAAACTTACTGTTTTCTCCTGTGGTGTGCTCGTAACACAACGGGAGTTCTCTCCAGCTCACAACTGGTTCTGAGTGTCCAGCAATTGACTTGTGACACCAGCGGGAGTCAGCGCAGACCCCCAAGCTCGGTCCCACAGGACTACTCCCCCTCCCACTTGCCAGTCACAAGCAGCAGGCCCTCAGGTTACCCACAACTTCTATCTGACTTTGCTACAAATCAGAGGTTCCCACGACATCTTCACCGGTTCAGTTTGCCAGAGCCCAGGGCCCAGTGGCTGATAGTATTGTGCAAAACAAGGAAACTCAACAACAGCTCAGTGGCAGAGATGCCCAGGGAAGGGTGTGGGGAGGAGGAGACCGACAGCTGTGTCCCCAAGTGTGCTACCTTCCCGTGCCAGCAGCCCAGAAGCTCTCCAGACCGTGTGCTTTGGGTTTTTATGGGTGCCTCAGTATGTAGGTGTGACCGATGACTGATTAAATTGTTGGCCATTGGCGAGATACTGGACCTTTAGCCCCGCTCTGATCCGTTATAGAAAAATATGTTAACTCTTACTTTAGATAATCACTGTTAACATTTTCATGTAAGTCTTCTGTGTTTTTCTATGTATAGCTATGCAGCTATGTTTTTTCTTTTCTTTTTTTTTTTTTTTGAGTTGGAGTCTCACTCTGTTGCCCAGACTGGAGTGCAGTGGCCGCTCCCGGCCACCGCAGCCTCGACCTGCCGGGCTCCGGCGATCCTTCCGCCTCAGCCTTCCAAGTAGCTGGAACTACAGGTGTGCACTACCATGCCCATCTCATTTTGATTTATTGTAGAGATGAGGTCTTGCCAAGTTGCCCAGGCAGGTCTCGAATCCGTGGACTCAGGCAATCTACTCACCTCAGCCGCCCAAAGTGCTGGGATTACAGGCTGAGCCACCGAGCCCAGCTTTCTTTTTTTTTTTTTTTTTTTGAGTTGGAGTTTCACTCTGTCTCCCAGGCTGGACTGCAGTGGCACAATCATGGCCACTGCAGCCTCAACCTGCTGGTCTCAGGCTATCCTTCCACCTCAGCCTCCAGAGTAGCTGGGACTACAGGTGCTGTGATCGTGCCACTGTCCTCCAGCCTGAGTGAGCCTGAGGGCATGCCCTGAATCTGCAGAAAGAGGCAAAGCCTCTGAAGCTTTCCAGATTGTTGGGTCTGACCCTTGTCTGGGGGTGGATCTCCAGGTGCCCTGGGGCCTGTGGGGGAGGCAGACTGATGGACACACAGGGCTCTGGCCCGGGCTGCTTTTCCATCCAGCGGGCATCTTTGGCCCATCAGAGCGGCTTCGCTTTCAGGGTCCCCGAGGCCCTGAGCGTGAGTCTTCCGCTGCTTGGAGAGAGAGAAGTGGAGTTGCTTGCCCAGAACTCAGAGCAGGCCGTGGTAAGGCCACTCCCAGGAGGCAGAGGTGGTGGTGATTGCTGTAGCAGGCAGATGGGCTTGGGCCCTGGGGGCTTTGGGCTCAGCAGTCTTGCCCCAGCAGACCCCCGCCTGGAGGAGGCCTGTGCGCTCTTCCTTCTCTGTCTCTCCACTCTGCCCTTGCTGTGGTGGGCAGGCGTTGCATGAGTCCCTGTCTTTCCTATAGAAAGATCCCATACAGTGACAGGCCGCCTCCCTGCTCTGTCCTCAGGCCTGGCAGAGTAGGAGAGTGGGGAAACACAGCTTTGGAGCCAGCACACCTGGGAGCCAATCCCAGCTTTGCTGCCAGAAGCCTATGTGTCTGTAGGCAAGTCCCTTGCCCTTTCTGAACCCCTGCTTTTCTTAACTGTAAGGTGAAGTGAGGCCCCACCTGCCTTTTGTCATCCTTGTGGGGATCAAACCATGCGTGAACACCTCCCAGGGGTGCCTGACACATCACTGCTGCTTGGAAAGTCAAAGCCTGTGTTATCATTCATTTTTATTATTTTCTGTGCAGTTCATTGCTGGATGGGTTGCTGGTCCGAATACAAATGTTACACCTTTTGTTTTCCTTTTTTTAATTTCTTTTTTTTTTTTTTTTTTTTGAGTTGGAGTCTCACTTTGTTGCCAAAGCTGGAGTGCAGTGGCATGCTCATGGTCACTGCAGGCCTGACCTGCTGGGCTTAGGCGATCCTTCTACCTCAGCCTTCCAAGGTGTGCACCACCACACCCAGCTAATTTTTTGATTTATTATAGAGGTCTTGCCAAGTTGCCCAGGCTGGTCTCAAACCCCTGGGCTCAGGCAATCCTCTCACCTCCACCTCCCAAAGTGCTGGGATTACAGGCGGTGAACCACTGTGCCTGGCTCCTTTTTAATTTCTTAAATGCTAGGCCAGAGGGGTGCTGGTGTCCCTGTTGGGACGTGTAGGCCTGGAGAGCCGAGGCAGCTCATCACAAGGGAGGGCTGACCATGGGGCCAGCTGTGGCCTGGAGCTGGCGCACTGAGGATAGCTGCCTAACTCCTCCTCCACTGGCTGCTTTTTTTTTGGTCTTTTTTCAGTTGCTGAGTTTTGGTTTCAGAGAGATGGTGGCCCAGGGAGTGGTTCCTGGTTTTGCCTAGGCAGCTGGAGCTGGAACCACTGTTACCCTCGCCTGGCTCTGCTCGGGGCCACCTAGAGCTCCCTTTCCTGGGAGAACACCCCTTCTGCCAGTTGTGAGTTCCCAGGCACGAGTCTGGGGGTACCAAAAAGGCACGCCTTCAGCTCCCTGCCTGCAGAGATTTGGAAGGAGGGGTAGGCTCGCTACCGGAAGACTCATCAGCACCTTACGAAGCCCTTTGAGAACCCAGGGAAGTTAAGTGGGCTACAGCCTGCCTTTATAAATACATTTTTCTTAGAACACAGCCCCTCCCACTCATTTAATATCTTCTCACCACAGCGTTCAAGAGTTGCAATGGAGACCTTGTGGCAAAGCCTAGAATATTTGCCATCTTTCTTTGCCCTTTATAAAAAATTATTTGCTGACCCCAACTCTAGAGAGTTTGGGGAGTTTCTCCATCCCAGGGACCTTTATAGGCCCACAGGGCAGAGGTTCTTATGTTTGAAGGCCCTGTGGAGTTGATTTTGTGGCAAGGGGAAAGTTTTATTTTTATTAATTAATTAATTTATTTTTGGAGTCAGAGTCTCACCCTGTCACCCAGATAGGAGTGCAATGGCATGCTCACAGCTACCGCAGCCTTAACCTGCTGGGCTCAGACGATCCTTCTAACCCAGCCTCCCAAGTAGCTGGAACTACAGGCATGTGCCACCACGCCCAGCTAGTTTTTTGATTTATGAGGTCTTGCCAAGTTGCTCAGGCTGGTCTCACACCCCTGGACTCAGGCTATCCTTTCACCTCCCACTTCCCAAAGTGTGGGATTACAGGCGTGAGCCCCCACACCTGGCTCAGTTTTAATTTTAATAGTCTATCCCTTCATTCATTCATTTACGGATATTCATTATGATAGTCACGCCACGTATAAAGTGCTAAATTTGTACAAGGCACTTGTTAAGAGCTTTGCTTACATACATTCGTCAGACTTCCCAAGAGCCGTCTGAGGTAGCATCCCTGCTTCAAAGATGGGATGTGAGCTTGAGCTCAGGTGTTCAAGGCTGA